AGGGCCCCCGGAGCACACTCATGAAAGCTCAGCCTTGAGTCCAGTCCAGGAGGCATTAGATAGTCTCTCTGGGCTGGTCCTTGTGTGGTTTAGGGACAGGTAAAGCATTCACACTTTATAACACTAGAACTTCACAGGCAAAGATGCCCACATGCAGGGCTTCTTGTCTGCTGCACTGCTTCCTCTGAACCATACCCTCACTGCTTTGGAAGCCTGGAGGGTCACCAGCACCAGTTAGAATTTGTCTTTTTCTTTATTCTCCCCAAGCACATGAGTATGAAACTGCTGTAAGGTAAACAATGTGTATGGAGCAGTTCTACTGAATTTCATATACCCATCTCCACTTACTACTTATTAAAACTGGCTATTAGTATTCCATTATATTACCCACATAGGCAGTTTGACTGAGTCCCTGTTGCTCAGCACTGGGGCTGGTTCCCTTTTCGCCTGCTGCTGTAAACAGCAGGGCTATGAATATCCTTATCCGTTTTCCATTTGAATTATTCTATTGTAATGTTTTCCCTGAAGTGAAATTTGTTGGCTGGAAAGTGTATACAATTTTATGGTTCCCATGACTTTTTTTTCTTCAAGTCACTCTCCCAAAAAACTGTATCACCAAGTATTTTCTCCAGTGCTCTGTGTGTGCATGCATGCGTGCATGTGTGTGTGTTGTTATCTTGTGGTGCTGATAGTTATGGGTTTGATCATTTGTATTTATTTTTACCAATTAATCATTATGTAACAGGTGCTGCCTAGATATTATCCTAGCATTTGCTTAATTGCAAGTGAGAATGAGTAAAGTCCTTCCCTTAAAACTCATACAAATTAAGTAAATAGCCACTCCCTCTGTAGTTTAGAGAAACACTTTTCAGCTCCTTCTGTGTGCTAGCATTTGGGGGATCCACAGCAGCCCCAAAGCTACAATCCAGCTGGCTGGGCCCAAACCACACCTCCTGACCCATGATTATCAAGTAGTCTGAGAAGCCTCCTCCAGCTAATAAAGTCATTTATCTCCTCCCAACAAACTGAAAAAGTATCAGACAGTCCCCTTTCCCTGTGTGGTTTAGATGAATCCTGGCATTTCTTAATTGCCATATGTTGATTGTTCAGGATTGAGACACATTCTGGTTTATATGCAAAAAGACTGCAGGAGACATGGCTGATGTTCTGTTCATGGCTTATTAAAACCTCAGGAAGACCGTACCCCCCTCCCAAGGGGAACTCATAAACCCGTATCCTGGTGGAGCCACGACCCAGCGTCAGGTGACCCAAGAAGGCTGGGAGGGAAACTGACAGAAGGCTATGCCTACTTGACCACTAGATGGCACCTCTCAATAACTAATGGGGAGAGGACCACTTCCTTCCAAACCTCCAGCCCGTTTGTCAGCCTCCCCACCACACATTACAACACACTCTAGTCGTGTTTACTTCCAAGCCAGACATCTCAAAAAAAAAAAAAAAAAAAAAAAAAAGGCAGAAAAATTAAAAAGTTCATTCTAGCTAAAAATATACCATCTGCCTGTGAAAAATCTTGCTCGGTGCTGTCATGTCAACACCCAAAGCAGGTTAATAACCGGCCCAGAACAGATGGTTTCTTTTTATAATTACTGGGTCCTCCCACCAAGGCTTCCTCCTCAGCTGCCTCCTCACCCTGCTGGCAGCTCCTAGTGCTTCCTGGCCACCCGGCTGTCACTGCCCAGCCAGCGACCGCCGTAGGCGGCCAGCCCACTGCCAGCCCTCTGCTCAGGACCAGGGGGCTTTCAACACCACTTGGGAAGATGGCCACCAGGAGGCCACCCCAGCCTTGTCAACCCCACTACCAAAGAAAAACTAATCAGGCTAAGATGTTGGTAATCACTCAACAAATAAATAAGTAAACACTTATTATCCTATTTCTGGGTGAGGATGCAATGAGATGTGCATCCCCAAACCCTGTTCTGGGGAAAGCAGATTATTAACACTGACTGTCTAGAAAAAATTTTTGCTGAATATAACAGCTTTAAAAAATATTGCATTGGTGGGGCGCCTGGGTGGCTTAGTCGGTTAAGCGTCCGACTTTCGCTTGGGTCATGATCTCGCGGTTCGTGGGTTCGAGCCCCGCGTCGGGATCTGTGCTGACTGCCAGCTCAGAGCCTGGAGCCTGTTACAGTCTGTGACTCCCTCTCTCTCTGACCCTTCCCTGCTCACGTTGTCTCTCTCTCTCTCCTAGAAATAAATAAAACATTAAAAAAATATATATATTGCATTGGGGTACCTGGGTGAATCAGTTTAAGTGTCTGACTTTGGCTCAGGTCATGATATCTGGGTTTGTGAGTTCCAGCCCCGCATCAGGCTCTGTGCTGACAGCTCAGAGCCTGGAGCCTGCTTCAGATTCAGTGTCTCCCTCTCTCTCTGCCCCTCCCCTGCTAGTACTCTGTCTCTGTCTCTCTGTCTCTCTGTCAAATAAATAAAAAACATTTTAAAATTTTTAAAAAATATATTGCATACTTTTTAAAAAAAATTTTTAAGAGACAGAGAGATCACAGATGAACAAGCAGGGGACTAGCAAAGAGAAAGAGATTGAGAGAGAGAGAGAGAGAGAGAGAGAGAGAGAGAGAATCCCAAGCAGGCTGCATGCTCAGTGCGAAGCCAGATGCAGAGCTCAGTCTCACAACCTTAGGATCATAACCTGAGCCAAAATCAAGAGTTGGACACAGACTGAGCCACTTAGGTGCCCCTATTGCATACTTTTTAATACACTAATTTCACTTCAAGGAATCTATCTGAAAGACTATCTATCATAAATGTAAAATACAAAAAGAATGTTAACACAAAAATGTTCGCTGTAGCAATGAAAACCAAACCAGGGATATGGTTAAGCGTGATAGAATATTATACAGCCATTATACATATTCATAAGGAATTTCACAAATGTTATTTAATGTTAATTGGTAAAAGTGTTCAAAGAGGCCTAAATAGTAAGAATGCAAATATGTTGGAAATACGCACACATAACATTAAGAGGTTTGCATGAAACATACCAAATTTGTTAAGGGTGATATTCTAAGGGGTACCTAGGTGGCTCAGTCAGTTAAGCATCTTTTGTTTTCTTTTTAATGTTTATTTATTTCTGCAGGAGAGAGAGATAGAGCATGAGCAGAGGAGAGGCAGATAGAGAGGGAGACACAGAATCTGAAGCAGGCTCCAGGCTCTGAGTTAGCACAGAGCCCAACCCAGGGCTTGAAGTCACAAGCTGTGAGATCATGACTTGAGCCAAAGTCAAACACTTAACTGACTCAGCCACCCAGGTGTCCCATGAGCATCTAACTCTTGATTTCATGATCTCATGGGTTCCTGGGATTGAGCCCTGCCATCAGGCTCTGTGCTGATAGCACAGATCCTGCTTGGGATTCTCTCTCTCTCTTTCTCTCTCTCTCTCTCTCAAAATAAACATTAAAAAGAGAGAAAGAGAGAGATTCTGGGTGGTAAAATCTGTAGTGATTTCATTATCCTTTTCTGGATTTTTCTAAGCTTTCATTAATAAACACTGACAGATGAAAGGAAATGAATGGTTTTCAAAGACTATTTAAAAATAGAGTTAAGGAATGCCCTGGGGAGGGAACTGGGGGGCTGGGGGGTCCATGCAGGAGGAAGCCTTGCTTTTCCATTTGTACTCTCTGGTGTCTTCTAAGTTTTGTACTAGGATGGTATTATTTATTCAAAAATAAATAAATGCAGATTTTTGCATAGAAGACACAGAAATCAGAATACTAAAACCACAGGAGCTGAGAGGAGAGCCTGAAGGGAAAGTGCTTTCGCCTCTTATGGGAGTCAGGACTCGAGGTCTGGCCTGCCCTCTTGGGCTCAAAGCCCAACACGGATCACTCCCTGACCCAGCTAGTCACAGGTGACTTCATTCAGCAAGGCCTGCTCCATCTGACCCAAAACTGGTGAGGAGTTGGGTCAGTGCTTTTCCCAGGAATAAAGGCAGGCAGGCAGGGGCGGGGAGGGGGGGGGGGTCACTTCAGTGGATGTCAGTACAGGGCTTCTTACCTAGGACCCCTGTGTCCCGTGGACCCACCCAACATATAAACAACGCATGGGTGAGGCTTCCCCCAATTCCCCAGTCACCCTCTATGAGTTAGAAGAAACATCTAAATGGCCCCCTTGTCCTGCACCCCATCAGCTCAAACAGGACATCAATGATCAGTGGCTTCATCAACTCCAGAGGCCCCTGTCATTCTTTAGAGCCACAAATCCAGCATTCCCCTGCACTCCAAGTGTATGACTCTGGATGTTAGAGATGCTTTACACAAAATATGTGAGAAGAGGCCTGTTGGGAAAACATTTATTGTAATTTGATAACACCTAGGGATGTTATGGTTCCGAATGCAAAGTGAATATAGTATTAGGGGGAATTTAGGGTGGACACATTTCCTAGATTCTAGCAATTCATAAAAGTATTTTTTTTTTTTACTTTTTACTGAAAGTATTTAATTTAAAAAGCAAATCTCGGGCACCTGGGTGGCTCAGTCGGTTTAGTGTCACACTTCGGCTCAGGTCATGATCTTGCGATCTGTGAGTTCAAGCCCCGCATCAAGGCTCTGGGCTGACACCTCAGAGTCTGGAGCCTGCTTCAGATTCTGTGTCTCCCTCTCTCTCTGCCCCTCCCTTGCTCATACTCTATCTCTTTCTGTCTCTCAAAAATAAATAAACATTAAAAAATTTTTTTTAATAAAAAGCAAACCTCAAGAACTACCACGAATTTTCAGATGGCGAGAATAAGCCCCTGGGAGGGTGAGAGCCCAGGTGTGCCAAGTGGGAGGACTGGGTGCCTCGATGTCGTGGCTTCACTCAACATGCCGACTGCCCCTGTGTGGGGCCACTCGGAAGTCACTGGTCAGAGAAGAGGCACGTGAGGGAAATGTGATTCCTTCATGGGCCAGCTCCCAGGTCCTGAGACCCGGGGCCCCAGGGGAGGAACTGGTCCTCTAACAGGTGCTTAGGACAGATGCCCTCTAACAGGTGCTTAGGACAGGACTCCTTCACAGGTGAGGAGGCAGAACATGAGGGCCTTCCACCACACTCCAGTGTAAGAGTGGACCTAGAAAGCTGTCACCAATGTCACTCTTCACCAGCCTCCCAGCCAAAGGGTGGTCAGTGCATATTAGCACACACGACCCCAAAGCACAACATCTTCATAAATCATCTCCAGAACATGATAGAGTGCAGCAGTAGCCCCTCCGGCAGATTTCATTCCATATAAGGTAATACACTGATGTGGGGCTTTCCCACCCCCCAGTCCCCTTCTGTGAGTCCAAATCACGTACATGAGACCCCCGCATCCCAGGAGAAACGACCTAGTCATCGTACTGGACTTCGGCCTGGAGCTCCTTGGTAACATAGTTCACCAGCATGGCCAGCAGCTGCTGCTGCAGGGCCTCACTGCCCATGACCAGTGTGGTGAGCTGCACAGCGTCCGTCCACTCCAGGTGCCTGACGATGGCAGTGGCTTGATTAAAGAGCTTCTGCTGCTCGGCGGGTGGCAGCTCCATTATGATCTGCGGAACTGGCTTAAACTGTCCGCTTGTCATCCAGGCACCTAATAGACCCCCGACAGCCCCCCCTGGAAAACAAGGGAAGCTTCAATTAGTTGGGCCGTATCTGTGAATGATGGCCTCAGGTTCTCGCGGAGAGCATGTCCACCACTGTGATGAGTAGGCACATTCTGGGTTGGCCGGAACGAGCTCAGCTCCATGCCCGCCTCTACCCCACGGTGCGGGGGGCAGAGGTTTATGTGGTCTTCAGTCCATTTGGCTCAGATAATTGACACCCAAGTCTGTCCTTCCTGAAGCTCTGCACGAAGCAGTTCCCACCTCACAGCTGTGCTAACTAAAATCTTTTCCAGGGGCCGAAGGTTCGATGCTTCCCACAGAAATCTCTCTCATCTTAAAGGAGAGAGCTGGGAAGCAAGTGAGTTTTCAAGGAGAATCATCTCAGTGGTGAGACAGAATTTTCTCCATCGTGTGTCTAACATGCTCTTTGCCCCTGAACCTTGGAAATTTCCAGTGAAATCATGTGCTTAAAAGGACCCTGGGGACAGATAAGGAGACCTTTACTCTTGAAACAACTGTTTTTCATGCAACCCCTCCAGAGTTGTATAATAATAAATATCAGATTTAACTTATTCAACTATTTCTCTTTCAGTGGCCCCCAAAGGGCATAACCATTATTTTTAAATGTAAATTTATGATTAAATTTAAGGTGCGTGATTTGGGGACTTGATACCCTTATGTCAACGGAAAGTTCTGTCTAATCAGGTAGGATGCAGGTTTGTTACAGCAAGGTGCCCTGGGGCAGAGATCTCAAACCCTAGTGCCTTCAGGGGCCAGGAAGGGGGTTGAGAGAAGTGAGGAAGGCTGGGCGAGCCTGTGGGTGATGGGGAGCTGATTCCCTGTCTAAAGGGACAGTGGCTACTCCTTGCCAGCCCATTGGTACCACGCAGAATACCAGATTTGTATCTTTAAAAGGTCCCATGATTTTTAAATATCAGTGATCAGGTATTTAAAAGATGTTGCCCAGCTAGCCGGATATAGTGACTCTCTTCTAACAAGTAGAGTGTGGAAACAGGAAACAGTAGCTTCACAGTGGAGAAATCTGGCAAATACCACTTTAACCAGGTAAGCAAGGTAGATGTCACCAGGGAGGCCCTGTGGATGTCACGTGTCCCTGAAATGGCACTAGGAGATAGGCACGCCACCTCCCTCCGTGGTCCATAACCCTGGGCTAATCGTGAGAAAGTCATCAGGCAGACCCAAACGGATAGGCATTCTACAAATACCTGACCAATACTCCTCAAAGCTACCCAGACCATGAAAGACCAGCAAAGTCTGAGAAACTGTCACAGACCAGAGGAGACTAAGGAGACCTGAGGATGAAATGCAGTGTGATATCTTGAGCTGGATTTGGGGACAGGAAAAGTTCATTAATGCAAAAACTGCCAAAATCCAAATAAAGTCTGGAGAATAGTTAATAGTTATGTATCAGTGTTGGCTTCTTAGTTTTGACAAATGTACCATGGTAATACAAGATGTTAATGTTAGGGGAACAGAAACTGGGTGAGGGATGTACAGGAATTCTCTGCATGGTCCTGCCTACCTCTCTGTAAATCTACTACTGTTCCAAAAATAAAAGGTTTATCTGAAAGAACACAGCCCAGGTCAGGGAAGACCCATATGTAGGCTGGACCCCACCAACATGCTATAAACCTGCACCCCCTCAAGAAGCCAAGGATGAGGGTCTCTGGATGCACACCCTCCCTTGGGGCAGAGACCAGGCCAGCTTCGAGCCCTGGAGCCTGAGCACCGTCCCTGGACAGGCTCTCCTTCTGCTCCTAAGGCAGGGAGGGTTCCGGGGAGGGAAAACCAGTAATTTACAAGTTTTACTGAACTTTTCCCCATGACACCCGTGAAGTGCTTAGAGTCGACAAGAGTTGCACACATCTGCACTAAACCTTTATGAGAACATCAATATTTGATTTAGAGCAGCACTTAATGCAAAAAGTCGCCAGGAATATTGACCAGAAAATTACTAACTCTTTGGAGAAGAGAAAATTCCTTTGTTTTCTGGGTAAAATGATACTCTAACCCACAAGTAGGGGCTGCGAGTAGCGAATCCCCTGGGTTCTCTTTGCAGACATCCTGTTTTCCTCCAGCTTTTACATAATCCGAATAAAATATATGCTCCCACAATGGCATCTGGGAGCAGCTATATGATAAACGATCCCATCAAGCCTGTCCCTGAGCACATTAGATGGGGTGGGACAAAGATATAGAATGTCACTGAGGAAAGAGGCAATGGCTTGGTCTTTCCCCTCACTTCTTGGATGGGGGGAAACTGAAGTCAGGACTCGCTAATTCACAGTTTGGAAAGGGAATTGTATAGGCAGAAGGTCTGGGACCACCCACATGCTGATTTACTCCCCAGTGTGACCTCAGCTTCATGAAATGTCCTCAGATTTGCCCACCCTGCTACGGAATGGCAGAGCAGAGCAAGAAGCCATGCCGGGGAACTGGGAAACAAGCCAATCTGGGAGACACGCAGCTGCCTCTCCAGCCCATACCTGTGTACAGACAGGATTCCCACCAGACTGTGAGCACTCCGATGTCCCCGGCACAGCCTGCCCAGCACAAGGCAGGCATTCGGTTAAGTATTTGCTGAGCCCAATGCAGTAGACCATGTCTTTATCTGATGCCCCTGTGTTTCAGGGTCCATCGGAGGCAGCTCAAGGGAGGCACATTCCAGCCTCTCCTCAAGTCAGGCCTGCACAGCAGCCAGCTCACTGATGCCACCCTCGTCTACAGTTCAGGCCACACAGGAATTCTTCCTTCCTATTCCTAAGCCAAAGGAAGCAACTTCATCCTATCTCTAAGGAACGATGGGAAAATCAGCTGAACCTCCATTCATTGCCAGAAACCAGCTCTCAAATTGAAGCAGGCAGCAGAAGAAAGGGGCAAGGATGGCCACCCTAGTATAGTTTGTTGCTGTTTCTGCATTAGATTGTTTGCTTTCAGAATGGGGCAGTCTCTCTGAATGGGCTAGTAGGTGCTCAGCAAATCCCAGCCTCCTCCCTGGTTCCCTTCTGCAGTGACATACACTGGTGACGGGGTCAGGAGACCATCCAAGGGACCAGGACACCCCGATATCTTCAAACTCTAGGCCACACCCCTGAGGGGAGAGGCATTCTCCAGGTCTGCAGGACATACATGCCATTTGCAAGAATGCCCTGCACTTCTGAGACATTCACACTCAGGGGCTGGCGTTTTCAATAGGATACATTATGTACACAAAGATCATTTCACAGAAGCAACCTTGACTCAACAAATATCTCACACAGGACAGACTCTTATGAGGTCTCAGCGTCTCAAAGTCCTTTTCCACCACACCCACTAGGCTGGCCGCCCCTGCGAGGGACTCGCACTTACCAACAGCTAGTCCGGGTGGGCCTCCAACTAAGCCCCCGATGAAGGCCACGGCCCCCGTGACCAGGGCGCCCCTCCCAGAGTGCTTGACGGCCGCCTTCATCTTCCTCTCCTCAGAGATGGAGCAGAGCAGCTTCATGATATCTCCTACCATGACGGGCATCTTGGCAAGCCTCAAAGGAAGCATTTTAGAGGGTGACTTTCACTGGGTGTCAGAATATTTCCACCCAAATGTTACTCTCCCTAGAGTTTTGAGGAAGAGTCCTCATTTTCCAGTAGAGAAGAGTAGCTCCACCATAGGCATGACAGACAGCACTCTGTCATGTGAAACGTTGTCACAGACAAAGCAGGGTAGCCTTTAGTTAAAAAGCAAACACAATCAGCAGAATGGGTGAAAGGTCTTCTCTGCCCTCTGCATAACTTCTGATTTATGACAGATTAAGGAGCAACCCCAGCCACAGACTCCACCAGTTCATCACAAGTGAGGCAAGTCTGACCTCTCTTGCATCAGCGGCCTTCCTGCTGCCTCAGGCATCCCCAGTGCACAAGCCTGGCAGGATGCAGAAGGTCCTGGCCTCGAGCCCTCTTTTGTGTGACAGTGAAACTGAGCTCATGCCAAGCCAGTAAAGGGTATAAGTACTGGGCTGTGTGACCACACTGGCCTCATGCCCACATTTGCCCGCTGAGTGACCCTGAGCAGACTGTCATATTCCTCACCTGTAAAACGGAGACAAACCACCTACAAGCTGGATTCTTGAAAGGTCTAAGTAGAATGGATGCAAAGTGCCTGGTGCAAGTCTGGAACATGGCAGGCCCTCAGACATGATGGCTCTAAATGGACATTCTGCTACTGATACACACCACTTGCTTTTCTATAGGCAACAACTCTTAAAGCCAATCCAGTTCTGCATGTGGGGTATTAAAAGCAGAGACAGGGTGACACGGTGATATGAAATGACCAGAAAATAAAATATGCCAAAAAAATTCCAGGGGGTTGCATATGTTTGGACAGACAGACAGATGGGCCTTTGGAACAATGACCTTAGAAAAATTCTCTGAGGGCAGGAACTTGTTCGCCACACTGGGGAAGCTGGCAGGCAGGGCAAGGGCAGGGCGGGCTCCGCCCCAGGGATGGGTGCGAATCGAGAGCCACAACGCTGACACCGATGGGTCACCTGCCTGGGCTGGGGAGTAAAATCAAAATGGCCACAAGCTGGTGCTTCTCCTTCTGGCTTCCGCTGAACCCAAGGTCAGTGGGGACTTCCTTTCCATCACTCCTTTTCATTCAGGGCTGATACATGGTACAGTCGCTAAAAGAACTTGACAAAGTTTGGGGCAGACCCTGTTGCTCAATATCTTTTGGTTGCATCTTTTTGTGACCCAAGGATAATCCAGAACCAGCCTCTAATATAAAATTACCCTCTCAATCCTGGAAGAGGATTTTGAGTTCTTAGAATGAGTCTGTGGACCTGCTGGATCACCAGGCAGGTTTCAGAATTTCTGTGCAGTCCCTGGGGAGCTAAGAAGTCTCCTGTGTTTTGGCCTCTGCAATATTCTTAATTAAGATCAGTGATTTTCCACAAGGGTGTAGGAACCACTGTACCTTGCTAAGTACAGCCAGTAGCACTGGGCTGCGATCATACATTTCGAACAAGCCTCCAGCTGGTCTTCGAACCCCACTTCGGATAGCAAGACTCTAAGAGAGCGTGACCCAGGACATCTGATAACTGTTGCTTACTCCTCGAGCTCAGAAATTGCAAACAAGCATCCCCCAAATGTGTCTGTTTGGCCAAGTGGGGAACAGAGGCAATGGAGGGCAGGCCCTGCAGGGCTGCTCAGGTGTGCCGTTCCTGCACTGGCTGCATGTGTCCTGGACTTGCCAAAGCACCTCCTGGCCTCCAAGCACCTTTGCTCACTACTGGCAACCACTTGCAGACAGAGTACATGCTACCTTCTCCTCCTTGGAAGACAGCTCACTTGAGGGATAAGACTTGTCCATTCACAAGTATCATAATAATAAAATAGCACTACAACAGCAAATGGACTGCACCTAACAGAAGTTTACTAAAAAATGAGGCGATGGAGGGTGGGACTCGATTTACCCAGTAGCCACGGTCCTGTGAAGCTATGAAAACAAACTGAGTTTTATTTCGAATACTCATTTATTTCAAATATTGATAACCAAAGCATTTAATTTCATGGTAAAACCTTTCAAAAGCTAAAAACACTCCTGTAAGACATCTAGTCATTGTGTAGTTTATATCTGGTTTATATCTAGCTTTTTATCTATCACTTATGCTGGGGAAAAGGGAGACAAAGCTCTCGTCCTAGGAAAGCCCCTCTGGAGGCTGCAGTGAGCTTCCCATTTCCAAGCACATGAAGACCGCAAGCATGGTCCATAAGGATGGCCTCCTGGCCAGTGCACGCTGCCATGACCTGCAGTCTTGAAACTGTTTCCGCACAGCAAGAAAACACAAAAACGAGGCAGGAAACAGCCACTTCACACTCTATTGTCCATTAAAAAAACCCTAGCTTCGGACCTGCTCTGAATGACTTTATGTATATAAACCCACAGGGGCTAATAAGGCATCATTGTGCAAATGCTGCCCCCAGCCTCCACTGTGCCCAGGCGGATGAGCACAAGGCCCAGGCCCAGGGCTCTGCAGAACGGGTGGACCAGCAGGGGTCACAGTGTGTGGGAGGGCAGGGGAGGAAGTGGCCCAGCTCCAGCTGGGCTCAATGGTTCTACACCACAGGAAGAGGTGGCAGTGTGGCTGCTTCAATTCAAGAGAAAGCTGGCTTAATTTCCTTGCAGGAATCATTTTAGAAGCTAGAGCATCAATAGACTCTTGTGGAAGAAAGGTTTGTAACCCCATCTCCTGAGTCCTTGCTAAAAAGCCCAGCCTCCCGACTTCTCCAGGCTTGCCAGATTGCGGGAGGAAGCAGCCCTGCTCCTTCTCCCACTCCACGTTTGCCTTTGTCTGTAAGCAACTGGGAAGTGAGTCAGGAGGGAGGAGGGAGGAAGAGGACTGTGATGGGGACAGACCTCAGAGGGTGAGAATGGGGCCTCCTCTCCCATATCACACCTATTTCAGAATCAGATTTGTCCACGAAACAGGTTCTGGTCACAGAAAGCCCATCTGCCAGCCACAGGGAAGGCAAATGCCAACTTGCAGCCCTGGTTTCTTGCACGCACCAGGCTGGTCTGCTGATTACAGCAAGGTTCTGGGAAAGGGGGAGATGAGCCCATCCCCAAGACTGTAGCTCGGCTTTCTGAGATGGACCAGATTGTGAGAGAGGAGAGAGAGGAGGGCTTCAGAGTTAACACAGACCTCCATGCACCCTGTTTAAAAAAAAAAAAGAATTAGAAAAGCGGAGCGTCTTAAGGGCCCAGAGTGATCTTGCTCACCTGCATCTTAAGTACTTTCTACTTGTCTGTTGGAATTTATAAAACCCCACTGTATGCACTGGCTCTTGTTAACCTGGTCTTCCCACCTCTGTATGCCCTGGTGCAAAGGTCACATGTGGATCCCACCTGCATTGTCAGATTAGCCCATAGACTTTTTAAAAACCCAGCTGATTGCCAGTATTTAAAGATCTAATTTCACAGACATCTGATTTCGGATTTCTCTTGAAAAATCAAAAGAGCAGGGCGCCTGGGTTGCTGAGTTGGTAAGCATCCAGCTCTTGACTTCGGCTTAGGTCATGATGTCACGGTTCTCAGTTTGAGCCCCCAGTGGGGCTTCACACTATCATTAAGGAGCGGGCTTGGGATTCTCTCGCCCTTTCCCTCTTCCACTCCACTGTTCATGATCTTTCGCTTTCAAAATAAATAAATAAACTTTAAAAAGAAAAGAAAAAGAAAAATCAAAAGAGCGAGTCACCCTGGACTATCTTCCTGTACCACGGAGGCCAAAGGGAAGCAGGTACTGCCTTCTCTGTCATAGTCCGGGACAGATACCTACCTCGCCCATAAAAGGGCGCTCTGCAAGCTCTCAAAGTCTGTTTCTCTTTTTAAAGGCTAAAGAAGCTACCTGTCCCCACCAAACTAATTCGCCCCTCCTAAATCATTAGTATCCATTCCTGATTGTGTCCAGACTTTCCCCATAGGGCGAGTCCAGGGGTGCTGACTCACCCGGTATCCTAACTAGGACTCTGTCCTGCATATATAACACCTGCTCCCCACCCACGCACCTGGGGGGCACTGAGGAGGGTGATACCCGCACACCGGGTTACAGAGGAGGACACATAAACGTGGCTAACTGAGGAGGCCACACACACACACACACACACACACCACACCACACCACACCCAGTCACTGCGTGGCGCACCGCTGGGTGCGAGGGCCCGCAGTCAGAGGGCCCGGGAGTCAGGCAGCCCGGAGTCTAATGCCAGCTCGGCTGCTACTGCTTACTTCGGTTGTGACGTCAGCCTCTCCGTGCCTCAGTGTCTTCATACGGAAAATGAACACCCAAGCACCGTGCTGGCTGGGCCCGGCAGCCGCAGGCCTCCCGGCCGCGCGCCCCGGGCGCCCGGCCTCACCCGCGCGGCGCCGGCGCACGGAGGCCCATCCCCCGCTGGGAGGCGGCCCGCCGCGCGCGCCGCCGCCGGGAGACCCAGATCCGCGCGTCTCCGGCCCCCGCGTCCCCGGCCCCGCCGGCAGCCCCGCTTCTCCCTCCCGCCTTCCGGCTCGCCCGCACGGGGGCCTTCCGGTCGCCACTCACCCCGGCGCAGCGGAGCGCTCCCGCCGAGCTCCCGCCGCCTGCCTAGCCCAGGCTCGCCGCGGCGCCCCTCCTCCTCCGGGGCCTCGGGCAGGCTGGAGTCGCCGTGGTCCCCAAGCTACGCTCCGTCGCGTCCGCGTTTTAGATGGACTCGGCACCCTGCACCTCCCTCAAGCCCGGAGAGGCCTCCTGGGATCCTCTTTCCCTTTCGCCCTTGATTCAGGATCTCTGACCCTTAGGGGTAGGGACGTTCCTGCCTCCTCCCAGCAATCATGGAGAGAACCCAGCAACCATAGGAAGCCAAAGGTGCTGAATTAATGTTCGGTGAATGTATGGGCCAAAGTCCAACGTAAGCTGGAGGCCGGTGCTGGCACCAGGAGCCTCTGGGTCTGGGGGTTGAAAGGCTAAGCAGCTGGCTTTACCTCCAAGGGAAGGGGGAGACGAGACTGCTGGGAGGGTGCAGAGGTGGGGACGGGGTGCAGGGAGTACTTTAGAGGAAGTATGGAGAAGAGGCCCCCCGCCCCCAGCACACACTCATACACTCACAAGGGCTGGCCTGGAACCATCTCAAATCTGGGAAAGGCTCTGGTGGCCGTCCATGGACTGTGCCACTTAATCCTGACAGTAGTCCCGCCTCCTAGGTGTGGTTGCCACTGCCCTATTACAGCTGGGAGAAGCCAGGGAGAGGTCGGTCTGCCCAAGGCCACCCAGGTAGGGTGTGTCAGAGTCGGAACTGTAACCCGGGTCTCCGCGGCTCAAAGACCTTGCTGAACCCAGCGCTCTGCCTGGCTTTCCAGGCTACTGTAGACACGGAGAGGATGGGCGTCATTCACACTGCCAGTCATCTTGTTTCTTTCTCTTGTTTTTCCTCTCTTGAGTGGGAAAGCACACACATATGTATACACCACGTATTTACACACATAGATACAGATATAAATACCACTTATGCACACACAGATTACACATATACGTACACATATATATACCATATATTTAAACAGACATATATACTATAGTATATACATGCCCCGATAAGGTGTTTAAAAAAAATCTGTATTTGCTGACTTTAAAAAGCTGTACATATTAATGTATATAAGTCGATGAGTTGGGGGATAAGTATACACCATCATCACAATCTACACCATAAACATATCAGTCACTTCAGAAGTTTCTTCCCGCTCTTTATTATTATTATTATTATTATTATTATGTGTGTGTTGAGAACACTTAGCATAAGATTTACCCTCTTTAGTATACATTTAGTATACGTACAATATTATCAGCTGTAGGCAGTGTGCTGCATAGATTCCTAGCATGTATTTATCTTACAGAATTGAAACTTTGTACTCTTTAACTATCATCATTTTGTTACTTCCATTTCCCTTTTGTCCTCAGGGGAGAAAGGGCCTTAAGCATTAACCAGGGTTCGGGGGCCGTGATGAAATAGCCCCAACCACTTCTCAGTAGGAGCTTTTGCTTGAGTTTGGGTGACATTCAACAATGAAAGTTAACTGAGGCTAAGAATAGCTCAACCTTCTCTAGGCTCTGACCTGGGGGAGATTCTCCAGTTTCCTCCGCGGGCAGCTCCCTCTGGCGGCTCATTAAAGAAATTGGGCTGTTGACTCCTTCCCCAGAGGTGGTAAGGGGGTAAGGAGAGGCAGGGAGATGAAAGAAACTTCAAGGTCAGGGCCCTCTTGAGAAGAGGAGGTGAGCTTTAGAAGTCCTGCAAACTTTGAACCTGTCAGCAACCTAGGACCTTCATTCTGATATGAATGGTTGCACACACAGAAGCCCATAAATGTAACAGATAATACCACAGTCTCCTAGTGTCAACTAGGCCTCCTGTAGCGTTGGTTCTGTGAAGGGGGTACACAGTGGGGTCGCCATCATGGTGACTGTGCCCTGGCCCAGCATACAGATAGTGCTCTCATAATGCTTACAGTCCTAATATCTGGCTGGGTGACCTTGGGAAAGTCATTCAACTTCTCTATGCCTCAGTTTCCTCATTTGGGAAATGACAACAATAATAGTGCCTGTCTCATAGGATTATACTGAAGAGTAAAGGAGGTAATGTATAGGGATCAAGATTATTCTTGTTTATATCATAAGGTGTGAAAATGAAAATCATCTCCAGGGTGCCAAATGTGAGCCTCATGTGCCCAGAGAGGCAAGAAATCTGATTCCACCCCAAGCCTTCACAATCCACCATTTTCCAGAAGGGTCCAAGAATCCCATAGCATCCTGGCTTGCATCATAGAGCTGGCTTTGGACTATGATCCACCCATTCACCAAACGTTAACTTAGCATCTTTGGCTCCCCAAGGTTGCTGGACTGTCACCATGACTGCTGAGGGAAGGGAGGACTGTCCCTAGGCCAGAGGGTCAGAGATCCTGAATCAAGGGCCAAAGGGAGAGAGGATCCCCAGGAGGCCCCTCCGGGCTTGAGGGAGGTGTAAGGTGCAAGGTGCAAGGTCCATCTAAAATGTGTGAGGGCTGCGGTAGAGGGCAGGGGATGGGTGTGAAGGAGCGCAGCCTGAGGGCCATGGGGCCCCCTGAAGCCAGCACCTTGTTCCCCCCACCTTTCCACAGTTCGAGTTAGCCAGCTTCTACCTTATATTGCTTTTTCAGGATAAACCCATCTGGACCCAGGGCCGGACAGTTCCATATACACACATGTAAACCCCTGCAACCTCTTAATTAAAGCATATGAGTAAACTTGATATCATTTTGAAAACTAAAATCTTAAGGTCAGTGTTCTTTTTATTTTTTATTCATTTTTAATTTTTATTTCTTATGTTTCTTAAGTAATCTCTATGCCCAACATGGAGCTTGAACTCAGCCCCGAGATCAAGAGTCACATGCTCCACCAATGAGCCTTCTTTCTATTTTAAATTACCTAGAGGCACCATAGTCTTGTGCTTAGGGATTCTCAGTGGTCTGGATCCAGCCTTGCAACCATAGAGCCAGGTTTTGGGTCAGGAGGGATTCTAACCGCATATGGTGGGCCTAGGACACTCTTCCTTCCTTTGCTTGGGGATGAAGGATGTCTCCCTTGCCCCCAGACTTTTCCCCAAGATGCATGCCATTCCTTTCATGTAGGAAACGTTCAGCACTGCTGTACCAGATGGACTGAGTAATTTGCTAGGGCCCTATAACAAAGCACCACAAAGTGGTGGGTGTGTGGGTGGGTCCAAGCTCCCTCTGAAGTCTGTGAGGGACAATCACTCCGGGCCTCTTCTCAGCTTCTGGTGGGGCCGTCAGCCCTCAGCATTTGTGGGTTTGCAGCTAGTGCCCTGCATCTGTCATCACTTGGCATCCTCCCTGTGTGTCTGTGCCCGTGCCCCAACTTCCTTCTTTGTATGAGGACACCAGTCGTATTGGATCAAAGGCCCACCCTAAAGACCTCATCTTAACCTGATGACATCTCCAAAGACTCTATTTTCAAATAAGGTCACATTTACAAGTACCAAGGGTAGGACTACAAAGTCTTTTTGGGGTGATACAATTCAACCCAAAACACCAGGTATCCAGCAAATGGCAGCCATGATGATAGCATCTGAATATGCACATGGTATGTGCTGGCACAATGAAAGTAAGAGGCTCGGCTCATGCCTGTGTCAAAGTTGTTGTGTGCAGAGGGGCCATCAAGCTGCCCTTCTTTGGTCTTGGGGGGGCTTAATTCTGAAAGGACTGCTGTGGGCAAGGTGGTTTGGGGACTGGTAAGGGAGCTGGTCCCGGGCTTTGTCACTGTGCTTCTAAATATTTAACTCATCTTCTTCCTTAGTATTTACATCCTTCAGATATTTGGAGATGGCTATCGTGTCCCTTCAGCCATGACTCAGCACTTCTCTACGTATTTGCCGTGGTGCTGAGTGTGTTGTTGTTGTTGTTGTTATTTTTATTATTTCCCCCCTGCACACTCCCTTGTTCCCTTAGCCACCATCATGGTTCTGTGAATTTCCTCCAGTTGCCAGCCCTGCAAGTGCCAAGTTACTGGGAGGGAGCATCAGCAGTCAGTAGTCAGGTGACAAGGGATGGCTCACAGGCCCTCTGGCCTCCTACACCTCTGTAATTTTTGTCAGTTTCCCCAAAGCCACATCAAATAAATAGGCAAGCTAAGGAAAAACAGCGTGCTTATGGTGCAAATGCAGTTTCCAGACAAATCCCCTGCCCCTGCTCCCATCCAGACAGTCCCCAGGTTCCTCAGCTACTAAATGAGAAGAATCCTTGCTCTCAACACCGTAGGGCTGCTGTGAGGACTTCGGGAGGAACAGAGCAAAGAGCCTCCATGTCAGCTACAAGGCTGGGATGCCTGCCTACCAGCAGTGCCTTCAAAACATGATTGGATCTCTGCAGAATGTTCCAGGGGTCTGCTGCTCTAAAAGCTAGAAATTCTAAGTTAAAATTTACAAAATGAACTTGATAAAACTGAGATTCACCCTAAAATCTGTTTGTGGAAAGAATAGAGAGATGCCCTACTTCAAAATCTACCATCAGATTTTAGTTTTCCAAATAAAGTGTGGAACTCAGAGCCGGATGGGCCCTTGGAGACATGTTGCAGATGGCCCTGAGGGGGCTTTGGAAGGTTATGCTGCTATAAAAGATTTGGAAAAAAAAATCCACCTTGTCTTCTATTTCAGATCTCACTGAAGAGTTCTTCTGTACCTGGAAGCCTTATTTTCACTGTGAGAAGAGTGATTTTCAATGGTTCTGTTGAACATGCAATTCTCATGCAAGTATTTCTATAATTATCCTGTTTCAGTTATAATACAGTTTCTGGAACAATAGGACTTTTATTGTATTGCCATATCTGTTATAATAGATATTTTATTACAGAAAATGATGGTAGAGTCACTATTATGATTCTGAAGTTTTTATTTCAAATTGCTCATAGGATGGAAATTCTTTCTCCCAAGTAGTTTTTACTTTAATGCTGCTTTGGTTGTTTTTTGGGTTTCGTTTTAAACTTTGATGTGTTTGTGATTTTGTTCCATGACAGAAGGTGGATGGTTTTGGAGGTGGGTAGGGGGGTTGTTTTGCTCCAAGTATAGACTGTGGCTAAGTTACCCCTGGCATCTGTGTGTCTGTTGTTAGTTTCTGGTACACACAGTTTCTTTAACATGTCAGATACATTGTCTTATGCACACATGCTTTAGTCTGCTCAGGTGGCCAGAACAAATTACCA